CTTGTTATCTCTTGTTGAATATACTGAGCAGGTATTCAGAAGGGAGTCTAACCTCTAGTAATTTCACTCAAGATGAGATGTAGACTCTTCGGCGTCTAATGACTCGCCTTGATGTGTCATCTGCTACATCTCCTAATTCTATCTCTTCTTCCAACTTTGGTCATACAGGTTCATTTTCTTGTATGTTTATTGCGTCATCCTCATATAATTGGATAATAGATTCTGGAGTCATTGATCATATAATAGGTTTTTCTAGTCTTTTCTCTACATATTCTACTTGTTCTAGTAGGGATAAAGTTAAGGTGGCATTTGGATCTTTATCCTCTATTTCTGGGAAATGTTCAATTAATTGTTCTCCCTTTTTATATCTCTCCTCTGTTATTCTTGTTCCCAATTTATTCCCTAATTTATTGTTTGTTAGTAGTATTACTCAATCCTTAAATTGTTCGGTGACTTTTTTTTTTTTTACTCATTGCATCTTTTCAAGAAATGAAACAAGAAAAAACGATTGACAGTGGTAGAGTACATAGTGTCTATATCTTTTAGATGTTGAAGCTTCTTTGCAGTCTATCTGTCAAGTTTTTTGGGCAGTGTTCTAGAACATTTTTTTCCTAGTTTAGCAAAACAGTGCAGTAGACAATCTTTTGTTTGTGATGCTTGTGAACAAGGATTGAAATGTTGTGTCGGTTCCTCCAAAATGTTTCGGATTTTCAACACACCAAACGAAATATGGCTTGAATCCCAAAATTCTAAAATTTCAATCGAAACATCACTATGTCCGACCGTTTCGGTCAAAACAGTACATTTTAACGAAACATTCGACAACACTCTAGGCCAAAGTGTTCCAAGCCCAAAAAAAGGGAAAAAACAGAGATTACATGTACACTGGTTCAGGTCTTCCAAGTAAAAAAAAAAGTAGACATAAGAGAGAAAAGCATACCCAAACGAAATCGAAGAGAGAGAGAGAGAGAGAGAAAGACACATACAGACTGTACAAAAAAGTTTAAGGAGAAGAGTTCAGTAGCTTACCTCTTTGAGTCTAGATTTAAGCAAATCTAGCCCATATTCACGCAAATCTAGGGCTTAGGACTTAGATCTTCATCGCTGCAAGCTACGACCCACGAGCTACTAGGTATCTTCTTTTTCTCTGTCTCTGTTTGTGTTCGTGGGTGAGAGAGAGACACGACTGACTCTTTGAGAGTCTTCTGGTTTTTGGCTTTTGTATTTTTTTTGTTATAACTATGAAAAATTACATTTAATACTCCTTTGCATTATAACTTTTAATTTTTAAGCATACGTAAGTACCATTAATTTCATTTAATACACTTCATTATTTTTTTTTCTTTTTGTAATTATTCTTTTATGTTATTATTATTTATTAAATTGATATATTAAATAACTGCAAGTCATTTTATTAATTATACCTTATTTGTTAAATATCTAGAATTAAGTATTTATGTGTGTACAAATTGTGTATACAATGATTTTAATATTAGTGAAATAGTATTATTTATTAATTTGAAGACGCAATTTAAATTAATAGATTAGTATTATTATAATATGCTTCACAAATTAGTTTTATAATAACATGCCACACGAAGTGTTAATATTATTAATTACTAAATTAGTATTATAATAAAATAGTATTATTTTTTTAAATAATATTTTAATTTAAAAGTGTTATACATGTCATATTTAAAGTGATTTTCACCTCATTTTAATTTTTTTTTGTCCTCCAATTTAAATTTATTCTTGTATAAATGGATGTTAACTTAATAAATATGTTGAATTAATCAATTATTAAGCTTATCTTTATAAATAAATTGATTGTATTTGTGTTTTCACATATTTTCATATTTTTTCTGCGTTTTTGAAACGTTTTCGTTTTTGAGCTGACTGAAATGGTACTTTGAAACAATATTTCGATCCTTGCTTGTGAATTTTTCAAGCATAAATGTTTATCTTATCTTAATACTTACCATAGAAGCACTACACCTTTTGTCATTATTCATTCAGATGTAAGGGATTCTCGTGTTGTGTCTACTTCTAGATATCGTCGGTTTGTTATCTTTACTGATTATTATTCTCGTCTTACTTGGGTTTACCTAGTATGCTATAATGGTGCAATTTTCTCATACTTTAGATCTATTCATAAAATATTGAGTACTCAGTTTGATGTCAAAGTTAACATTCTTCGAAGTGATAATGAAATTGAGTATATTGATAGAATATTTCGTTCTTATCTCAATGAAAATGACATCCCAAGCAAAATGGTGTTGTTGAGAGAAAAAATTATCATCTTTTTGAGGTTGCTCACTCATTGATGTTTACTATGAGTGTTCCTTAATCTTTCTAGGGGGGATGTAGTTGTTACTGCTGCTTATCGTATTAATCGTCTACCCTCGAATGTCCTTTAGTCTAAGTCTCCTACCAAGTGTCTTTCTAACTCTTTTTCCATTCCTTCTATTTCTTTCCTTTATCCTAAAGTTTTTGGGTGTGTGTGTTTTGTACATGATTATAGATCCTCTAGGAAAAAACTTGATCTTAGGGCTATGTGATGTGTTTTTGTTGGTTACTCTGCCACCCAAAAAGGACATAAATGTTATCATTTAGAGTCACAGAAAATGTATCTTAGCTTGGATGTTACCTTTTGTGAATTTGAGTCCTTCTCTATTACCCAGACATTTCTTTAGGGGTAAAATACTATTATAGGGAAAGAGTTGTTTTGTTAGGAGCCACTTCTTCAACTGCATGTTCAATGGAATGTCATTTAGGGGGAGCAACAACTTATAGAAAAAAAAAAGTGATGCTAGTGATCCACATGGTGTTCATCTTCATAAATATAAAATGAAGACTTATTCTCGGCATCAAAAAGTATATATTACTCGTGCTACCGCATCAGTCGGATTCCTCAACTCTAGTTCTATCTTCCACTGATTTATCAGGTAATAAACCTTTAGATGTTACTCCTATTATTGATATTCTAGTTGTTGATGACTTTGATCTTCCTATTGTAGTCAAAAAGGGTCTTAGAGCTTGTCCTCAACATTCTATCTCTAATTTTGTCTCTTATGATTCTCTGTCTCCATCCTATCGTATTTTTGTTTCCTCCTTATCTTTTATGTCCTTTCCTTAGGTTGGAATTTTCTATACCTAAAGGCACTATGCAAACATAAATGCATGAAAACTCTAAAAGTTTAAACTAAATTTACAATAAATTCCTTTAAATTAAAATTTTTCCCAATTTATTTACAACCCACAACATCCATATTCCACCAAATATAAAAATACTCAACTAATTTCACCTGACATATCCCAAAAAATTAGCAAAACATTCTACCTAGCAATCTAACCAACAAAAATGAGCAATATAGCATGGACATGGTTTTAACATAAAGGTATCTCAAATATTCCAAGCTTGATTCAATCAAAGATCAAAATACATACACAATAAAACCTATTGATCACTCTGTGGCTATGTGCCTCTTATTCCAGCTTTCATATTTGACAAAAACATGCTTGTAGCGCTGTACACATGAATATTTAGTGGCTTTATTGAACAACATTAAGAGAAACATTGAGATACTTACGATTTTCGGAACACAGCTTCCTCAACCTTACAGCTTCTGCTACAGTTGACCTTGTGATACTTTAGATTCGAGCAATCTACATTTTGTTAAAAAAAATTGTTACTATAAAGTGATTGCATTACAAATATTAGCAGCCTCAATAATCAATTGAGCAATACATTATTCCATGACATTTCGAATAAGCAATAAGGAAAACCTAGATTGCAGCATGAAATATTAACTCCAAGATTATTAAGCAGCCACAAAAGTGCAATCAATAAAATTGCACAATCCATTGTCCTATACAAAAGTTTTACAGGAAAAAAGACCCACAACTTGGTGTAAAGAACCACAACATGGGAGTATTTCGTTGCAATACTTGTAACAACCGGTCAAATTGCATGTGCACAATTGAGTGAGGCATCTGGATTGCACCTTGCAGGCAACATAATGATGTCAAATAATGTATGCACTTCATATTAATTTCACCTTTCAGTAAATTAAACAAACACCTACTATGCATGCTCATCCACAAACTACATCAATTGTAACTGGTGCACACGACCTTGACAACATCAAAAAAAGGAACTTCTAAAAAGAAGAAAAAAAATAAAATAGGAGCAACGCAAAAAATAACACATGAATCAAATTTCTTTTTCGGAAAGCATGTGTACTAAAATATTAGAATTGGATGGATAAAAATTAGGATTTCTTTTTCGAAAAGCATTTTAACGAAGCAAAGACAAATTTGATTGATAAAAATTAGAGATTCAAATATGATCTATTGCATGCCGAATGCGTACTAAAAAACTTGATATGCAGAGTTGAAGTTAAAGCTCAAATGCTCAAACCAATAATTAAATCTATAATATAAAATTTGATATGCAGAGTTGAAGTTAAGGCTCAAATGCTCAAACCAATAATTAAATTCTCTATAAAACTCATCTATTTAGCACTTGCAAAAACTCAAAATTCATCAAAAAGGAAGATAGTCTACAAAACAAACCAACAATTAAATAAATGAACAATTACAGTCAATGAATGAAATTAAAAAATATGCAAACACGTTATTTAAGACATTTTAGCAAGCAACTTGCATGTGAAAAGCCAATGAAAATGCAAACCCATTAAATTAGCGATAGAGTGGCAAACTAAATCTGACACTGCCTGAAAAATAATTCAAAAATTAATGCAATCTGGGTGTGCAACAAAGCAATCCAAGTGAAGGTGAAAAACAGAGGATGTGCATGTTTGTGTGCAGGGCAGGTGTGTGTGTGGCTGTAGTTTTTTTTTTTTAATAGGTGTGATTGTGGTTCAGTGAACGCCTGTGTGTGTGAAAAATAGAGAGTGTATCTCAGGAACATTTGGGCCATTTGATCGAATAGCTTGTAGGTCCACATAGATTACCGGGATATTTCGCTTTTCCTTCCATGGTATGAACGGTTAGTTTTGAGGGTGTGACCACGAGTAAAGCATATAACAAGGTAGTGAGGCATTTTGAAACTTGAGAATTACGTTTTGCAAACAAACATATTGGTGCCCTTTTAGAAAAGTATTACCCCATAATCCTAATAAATCGAAAGAAATGCAAAGACCCAATAGATAAACCCAACATATTGGTAGTTGTATACCTTCTCATAAATGAGACCAGAACTCGATGAGAGAGACATCAAATAGCAGTAAATAAAAGATAGGTTTTTTTTCGACAATACCTTAGAAAATCTGAAGTGACGAAGAGATAGAGAACGAAGAATTAGCTCGGCTTATAGATGTGTTTCGATCAAACAAGAGGGGTTTATGTAGGGCAATCGAAGCATCTCCCAACCATGACTGACTTGATAGGGCAAAAGAGGAATATCTTTCCCACAAATTTTTCAAAAATTTTTTTGCAGATCGAACAACAATAGGATTCATTTTTTCAATCGTTTCCAGCGAAGAAGACAACAATCGTCCTCCCTCTCCCCATTCGGTCTTTTCCACAGATTTTTCAAAGATTTTTAGCTGGTCAGTGTATTTCCCAAAAGAATCTTCTTTGTGTTGTTCGATCGTTGGTCAGTTCTTCAACAGGAACTCTGTGGGAATCTTGTGTCTGTGTTGATCGATAGTGGTCATTTCAGAGAGATATGTGAATAGGGTAATTTGGGGTATATAGGATATATGGGGAGTATACATGTCATTTGGATGTTAAACCCATTAACTCATATATGAAACCCCCTACCCCAAAAAAAATGAGTTTCATGAGCAGGCCTAAACCGGGCTGAGTTTCAAACCTTGGGCTATATGTGTATTTGCCAAAAACAAGCCCTTAATGTTTTTAGTAACCACTTCATGAGTTTGAAAGGGGGAGTTAGAATAGTCTGGTATATTTAATACTAGGGTTAGTTTATTCTTTTTTTCTCTGTTCTTTCTCTTATTTCTTGTCTATTTTATTAAAGTTAACAGTTGACACGTGAAAAAAATAAAAATTTCTGATTCATCCCCTAGGGAGTTTAACATACAACTTTGTCCTATGAATCGACATGATCACCATTGTAATTCTGAAATAATCAATTTGGGTATTAGTTGAGTTGCCAAATTCTTATTCTGAATATATCCTTGGGTTAAAAAATGGCATAGGATTTGTGCATACATTGCTTTCATGCAATTAGATACAAAAATGTAATATAAGCTTTTCCATGAGGCCCCAAAATTAGCTTAAAACTGAAGGTTTTACATTTGTAAATCATTAGAACAAATATATCGTCTATGCAAGTTATGGTTTTATGCGTCTTTCTGTTGATAGGTATTCCAAAGAATTCTCAAAGCTTATGCTACAAAGCTTTTTGCAAGGTTGCCTAAGGGTGGTACAGGAATCGTTGCAGCAGCCACGGGAATGGATGGACAAATAAAGGTACTACACACCTTACTTTGTTTTGCTCTTAATTTTGTGTTGCTTATCTATCTGATAATATTGTGCAGACATCTGATAGGGATGAACGGGTGATTTGTTATGTCGTCAATACAGCTGAATATTGTCACAAAACGGTTAGTTTTTGTGAATTCATCACATTTTTTTGTTACTGGGTTATGCAGACTTTTGTTACACATGAATTGGTTTCAATATTAGTTAAGTTGGTGTTATTGTTATAGAAATGTAGATTAAAATATGACAACCAAACCTAACACACATTAGCATTTTTACTATCATGTTTGAATCAGTTAAGTAACCTTTCAAGATCAGAATCACAAGTCAAAGATGCAAGAGTAAATGAAGTAGCACCACAAAGATAAAGGTGCTTTTAATCTATGATAATTTTTTTTTTCTCATTTGCAGGTATTTATTCCAATAAATTGTACAAATTAACTTGATTTGACACAACAATAACTCAAATCCACAAACTAAAAACCAATAAATCTAAACAAAAAAACCTTATCCATAAAGAGTTACATATTCCTCACCAAAATTTATCATCCGATATTTTTATGAGTACATATTACCAAAAACTACATAATTAGATTATCAATACATGATCGAAAAAAAAAAAATTTAAGACTCCCCATGCACCATCTATTCTACCCATGCAGCATGTACTCTCTGGCAGACACTACAAAATGATTGCGTTTTTGCTTATTATAATGCCAACAAGGCTTTGTTCAATTGAAGTACTTAAAATACCAACAACTTGGTAACAATGAAGTTAAACCATTAGGAAGCAGTAGGTTCAAAAAAAATTAAACAATGTAAAGGCATCTAAAAGATTTTTAAACAAAACAATATATATTGCCCTTCCAGAAAAGTGCTCTCATAAATGCCCACATAATTGCAGCCGTCATAAGTTTAGGTGGTGGGAAACCATTTAATCTCTCATCAGGCAATGCCTTAGATCTCGAAAACTATGGTACCAATCTACATACATAGAACCATTTCAAAATAAATTTATAATAGCAACTCAGGCAGTATCGCTTTAATGAACTCACAGATTAATATGCCTATTACATCCAAATGTAAATACATTATAAATGAACTTGAAGATTCATTTTCAATCATCGTTACGTTATGAAGAACAAAGATATGACTTTCTGATCATTATATTTAAGACAACATCAAAATCAACATAAAATCAATATCAATAGAAATATTAATATTCAAACAAATTTAACAAAAAGAAAAATTATCACTTATGGGGTAGTAGGAACACAAATAGAATGCAAACTATTTCACGTAAAATAAGTACTATAAGAAACCTCACCAGTGATATTCTATTGCGGTGAGGGCAGTGTAGTGTTGTAACAAAGAATTGCAAACAACATGATCCTGGAGCACACTTTTATATATTAGGTGCACATTTTTTTTTTTGGAATCAGCAGTAGCAAATGATGCATATGTTGCATATATTTCATATCTATAAGGCTGGTACGGACTTGAAGAGATCTCTTAATTCTAATGTTGTCACAGTGGAAGGCGAACATATTAAATTTGAATCAGAGAACATAAAACAACATCAAAGGCACTAATAAAAAGACTTATGCCAGATAAGGCATGGGCAGAATACATTGTAGAAAATAAATCAGCCTTACCTGATGTAAAACCTAGTTTCAGAGCAAACCCCAAAATCTGGGAATGTTTCCCCCAATTCCATAAACATTAAATGTCGGCCTCGCCTTCTTCGAACAACTATCACCTCTGTTAAAACAACTTGGAAGCTTTCACACAAGGATCAAAATATCATTTTGAAACGGTCGAAACATCCGAAACGTTTCCGTTTCCAAGGAGACCGAAACGAAACAGTGATGGAATCGAAATTCTGATATTTCGAAGTATTTCATAATGTTTTTAAATGTATTATAATATTTCATTGTATTTGCATACTTATTTTAGAATGTTTCAAAGTATTTCAAGATATTTTGATATATTTTCATCAATGTTTTAAAAACATAATTCTTAAATTTTTTATTTTTTTCATTATGTTCGAAACGGGTTGAAACGTTTCCGAAACACGTTAAAACGTTTCCTTTTTCTAGGTGACCGAAACAATACACTGAAACGATATTTTAATCCTTGCTTTCACATGCTCTTTGTCATATTACAAGCTAGACGATGACAAAGTAGTCACATTAATACTCGATGAATTGAGATTATTTCTGGAAAAGGAAGTCTTCGAAGTTCTCAAAATCAAATTTTTGAATATAGGGTACATTCTCAGGATCTAACAATGTTATAGTCTCCCTTTTACTTGTATGATGGAAAGACACCAAATTCCTTTGCAAGAACAATTCTTCAAATACCTCTCTTTGTTTGCCTCACAATGATGGCTTAGAATCTTGCTTGGAATTTATTTTCATCATTTCACATTCTGTGGGATTGTGCAAGAGAAGGGTATGAAGTGAGGTCAAGGAGGCCAAAATATGGAATTGATGAAATATACGTTGCATATTGAGCAAAATCTGTAGAGTCCTAGGACTTTTTTTCTAGAAGCCATAGGAGTTTTCAAAAGGAGAATGTGAGGAGATGAAATGGTTAAAGTTCAGTTCAAACCTGATGTGCATGTTCGTTACCATAATACGTGCAATATGTTCAAGTGTAAAGGTAAGATCAATTAAATAATATTGAACTAGAAGAACAATAGGCTTTTGTATCTAGGATGAAGTTAACTTTATAGCATTTTTTAAGTGGACAATATTAAGGATAAAATTGGAAAAAAAAAATTTCTTAATTAATTGGTATTTATAAGTAAAAAAAAATGTTTAATGGTAAATTTGAAAAAAAAAAAATTTCTTAGTGTACTTTTTATTAGTGGTATAGTATAGATATATTCATAGATATCGATTATTGATCTAATCAATGTGTAGGAGGGTAATTTAGAAATTTAAATAGACAATAATAGAATGGTGATTGAGATATTTAAATATCAAAAGGACATATTAGCCTTTATAATCATTTGTAAGAATAAAATAGTAAATAAAAAGATTTTAATGTCAAAGTACTGTTACAAATGAGTAATACTATTTGGATCTAAAAATATGACATAATGATGTGGCTTCAGTAGAACCATTGGATCAACACTAAGTTTCAATGTTTTGTGGGTCCTATAGTTAATCCAAAGGTCATAGTAAATTAGGTCAACAAATTTGGTCCGTAAATTAGGTCTCAATAGCATTGCTCTTTACAAATAGTGTGTGTAATACAAATATAAGCAAAATTATAGATATAAATTAATATAATATAATAGTAGCCCAACAGTCCAATGGTTCACAAAACAATCATAATTAGAAACAATAAAGTATTAATGATGTTTTTTTAACTCTAAAAGGATAGTATTAACATTTGTTGTTTTATTAAGGTTACTATAGTCAATCAAAACTTTTTCTCTTTTGTTGACATTTTATAGTAGTATAGATTGTTAGGTAACACTTATGTGCAAGTTGAGCTTCCATGATAAATTCTATATTCAAGTGGAGTGATAAGTGGTCTTAATCCTTAGAAATTGTAGGCCTAGAGAATTTCAAGTATGGGGTATCACTTTTTCATTATAAGGTTAAGAGGATGTTATGGGATTTGTTGATACTGTAGCAAACTATGATTGAGACTGTCATATCCAACATGGTATGCTTTTGAGTAAATTTCCTCCGAGAGATAAGAGTGTTGGAGAGACAGATTATTGCATCTTTATCAAGTTGAAGTGGGACCTATTTTCCTTTAGGCAGTGTGGAATAAACATTTTTATGGTCTCTTGGAAAATGCAGGATGACTTTGTTATCTTTTTCCCCTTACTTTTGATTAAACACAAAATTTATGATGGAGAAATACGGATAGGTTAAGATGGGTTTTTTCCAAGGTTAAGGTGCCTTTATTTTTGTAGATGGTGTCATAGCAAATCTTGGTGGCAAATTGTTTCCTGTTACACTGCTTTTGTGTTCATCTGCAATTTATAATACAAGTCACGTTGTGTGATTTTGCTATTCCAAACTTGTGAACTTTGTGCCATGGATTTTGTCTGAATCTATTTAGGCATCTTGAAAAGTTTGGTTTTCTGCTAATTATATTAGTCTTCAACATGAACCACATGATAGCAGGTTATACATATCTGCTGGTTGATTATGTTTATGCATAAATAAGTCCGTAGTATATATATAATTATATCATGAGACAGGTGAATTTAATATTTTGACAGTCTGGGGAATTGGCTGAAAATGTGTGCAAAATAATTGATCCTCAATTCGCGGGAGGGGTGGATATGTCCGAAGTGCAGGTAAAACAATTTTATTACTGCATTTTGTTTTGTAGTAATGTTGTTGCTTATATTATTAAGAGTCGTGTTTGTGCAGGATGAATTTTCTGCAGTTATAACAAAAGCATTGGTAACATTAGTGCATGGTTTAGAAACTAAATTTGATGCTGAAATGGCTGCAATGACACGTGTTCCATGGGGTACACTTGAGAGTGTTGGTGATCAGTCAGAGTAAGATGATTTTTCTTTTTCGGAAATAAATACATTGAACTTAAAATAGTAGTGCGGGAGAAATCTTAATGAAACTATGTGCATTTTCCTTCAGGTATGTCAATGGAATTAATCTGATCCTTACCAGTAGCATTCCTGTACTCGGAATCCTTCTTTCTCCAATTTACTTTCAGTTCTTTTTAGACAAGGTGAATATAGATGAAGTTTTTTAGTTTAGAGCTTGCTGTTCAAGGTTTTTCGCTTTGTGGAAAGGTCTATTTTACTTCCTTTATATTGATGGTTTTATATGGCAATCAACCGAATTTGCCTTGTCCTGCATCATTCTTTGTTCTTCCACTAGTGTATGATGTTTGGCTTGCTGACAGTATGAAAATTTGAAATGTCAATTTCTGGAGAATCGTACATTCTTCCAGGCTAACCCTGTTTTACTGTCTTTTGTTGGCTCAATAGGCTAATTGGTTCATTATTTCATGCAGCTTGCATCGTCTCTTGGTCCACGCTTCTACCTCAATATTTTCAAATGCAAGCACATATCTGAAACAGGAGCACAACAAGTATTGATAATCTGTCACTTTTTCCTGTTTCTTATAACATCTTTAGCACCACTGAGTCTCAATGATCATTATTGTTACATGCTAAGTAAATTATGTGATTGAGACTATTATGTGATTGAGACATGTAGAGTAGGATAAACTTGGATGCCTGGAACTAATCTGATTTATCACTTCATAAACCTTTCTGCTGTAATTGCAGATGTTGTTGGATACGCAAGCAGTGAAGACAATTCTTCTAGATATTCCTTCCCTTGCAAGACAGGTGAAATAGCACATTTGGAATAGTTATTTTTTACATTTTTCATTAACCGAAAAGCTTGTAGGATGCAGCATATGTTATTGGTGTTGTCGCTATTATTGGTCATGTTGTATTTTATGTTTTGGCATTGGATGCATGGATTCCCCTTTACTCTCTTACTCTTATGTCATCTTGGTTTGATTCAATGTGCCATTTGGACAAATCTTCAAGTTATGTTCCTGTGGAAGTATTGTGAGAATTTAAGCTTGTTACCAAACTGAATCCACTTTGCTACCTTTCTTTACTTTGGCAAGCCATGCAATGTTGGTTACAAATATAGCCAAATTTTCATAATAGTGGAGTTTTTCAAAATTAAAAAAAAAAAAAAAAAGATTTCCTTTGATGAAATTATTTACTTTTGGAGAGAACAAAGTTAATCCAAGTCATTCATAAACTATTTCTGTACTTTTCTTTCCGGTCGTTGGAGAACATTACATATGAATTTCATATTCTGCATTCCCACTCTGCCTGCGCTAGAATCTGAGGTCATCTTATGGTTTTATAGCAACTGCAGACAAGGTGTTGGAGTTAACTAAAAGTTGTTCATGTGAAATATTGGTAACAGTTCATGATGTAGGATGGTTTTAGGAAACCTAGGCTTATGGCGCCTGAAATTTATATGCCTGCTGGATCTTTGTAATACCACTTGGACCAAGTTACCACATTCAAAGAACTAATGACAGATTTTAAGACTACTCTAGAACATTTATGACCCAAATAAAACCTAGATAACTGGACTTCAATTAGGATCTATGCACTAGAATATTACCCATGTACTAGTTATACAAACAACTTAGGTTAAAAATCATATTTGGCACCTGAACTTTATACTAAGTTTCAATCAATCCCTTAATCTTTATTTTGTCTCAATTAAGCCCTCCAACTGTCTAAAAGTTTCAATATTGCCCTTCCGCTTAATTTCTTCAAAAAACCTAACAAAAAAATTCATGCGTGTCTCACTTGATGGGGTTAGTGGGGTATTTTAGGCAACCTATAAAGGTTAAAATCCTTTTGGTCCTAAATTTTGCACCTAATTTCAATTAAGCCCTTAAACTTTATTTTGTCTCAATTTAGTCCACTAGCTATTTAAAAAAAAATCAAATCTAGTCCTTCCATAAAAACCTCTTTACAAATTTGCATCTAATGTACATGACCAGTGGTAAGTGACCTAGAACCAACAAAAAAGGACGCAAAAGTTCTTCTAAGACCTCATGTTCTTGCACATGAGCTAGATCCAACCATGACTCTTTACAAAATAGGCTATTACTGTTTTTTTTTTAATATTATAAACACAACATACACGAGATGCCCATTTACTTCTTGATGGAGTTGAATGGAAGGGGACCATTTGAACCTTACAGGTAAATGAATGGCTTAATTAAGACAAAGTAAAAGATTAAGGACTTAATTGAAACTATGCGCAAAATTTAAGGACCAAATATGATTCTAATATTTATTTGTTGCCCAAAATACCCTTACTAACTCAGTCACGTGATATGGACATGCGTTTTTCTGTTAGGATTTTTGACCGTGTTAGAAAGAAGGGTTACATTGAAACTTTTTGACAAGTTGGAGCGCTTAATTGAGACAAAATAAAGATTAAGGGCTCAATTGAAACTGAGTGCAAAGTTTAGGGGCTAAATATGATATTTACCCAACAATTTATTTACCTAAATTAACAGAAATATATCTTAGATTCGACACTAAGCTCCATGGTTCCTGTTGCAGCGCATTACATGCGAAATTTCAGAAAACCTTTTCTTGTTCATGTATTTTGCATCATTGCATTGGTTCATACGTATGCAATGCTCAGTTGAGAACAAAGCTTTGAAAAACTGAACTTTAGTAACATTTTAACCAACAAGAATTGTCTTCCACCAACATGACAAATTATTTTTTTTATGTTATTTACATTAGACTGGACAACTATGCCAAGTTTTAGTCAATCACTCAGCAAGGTCCATTTGTTATTCAGTGATTGCTAGAATTCAGATATAACTCCATGCTACATGGTGATTTTATGTTATACACCATTAATATGTCCAGTTCCTTGCCTGTTGTTGCGGTTAAGTTTATAAGATATGATTTCTTACTCCATGTTGATAGTCCTATGATGTATATCACATGCCATGGGTGCATTGAACATTACTTACTGAAGTGGATGCTTCTCTCTCTGTAAATTGGTTTATTGATTCTTGACCACATTAGATGACTTCTCCTTTGGCCAAAAGACCTCAGCTCTCTCCTCCTAGTAATTACTTGATCAACTTTCTTGGGCAGACGTTCTTAAACTTGTACTCTATTTCTGCGGTACCCTAACATGGATTTTGCTTTGACATTTCAGTTTTCTACCATTTCTATTTCCAACTAATGGCTTTGTTTGGTTCAATTTAGCCCTTCGTAGTAGCATGGCTGCCCATTCCTTTTTCCATCACTCTGCTGATTTCAGTTTCATTTAGTGGGAACTTTGATGTGGTAGCATCCCACACCATTCTTGAGATTAGTAGTTAGCTCTCAATCAAATCTGTCTATTTGTCTAAGGAACATCAATGGTTTTATGTTGATGGAAATGTAGTAGCTTGCCAAGTAGGTGTTTCTTTATTTTAGTTGAGTTAATTGTTAATTTTTCTGTAAGAAATAAAAGGAAAAATATAGTATTTAGGTTGCAGGCACAACATGGTGAAAAAGGACAGGCTTGATAGCCTCATATTGTCTGTGAAGTGACCTTAGATTATACTAATTGGGAAAACCAGTGCGGACTGACCGAAAGTGGATTTTATTCATCTTTCTTGAGCAATGACAAACTCTTCCCTGCTTTTTTCTTGTTTTGAGAAATTTTTTGATTTGTATCTTGGCATAAATTGTTGGAAAAAACGCAATAGCTGTCACCAAGTTTTCTGGAACCATTTTTGGGAGAAGTTGCACTTGTATCATTATTATTTCACACATCTGTACTAGTTTCAGTGGAAGTTATTTTTGCTATCAGAGACTGAACCCTTAAAGATATTATGCAAGACAAACCCATTTATGATTTCAATTTATTTCCAAACAGACATCTGGAGCTGCTAGTTACTCAAAATTTGTAAGCCGTGAGATGAGCAAAGCTGAAGCACTATTGAAGGCGAGTGATATGCCAGTGTTGGGTTTTTACTTTTTGAAGAGTGACTTTTTTAATTATTGATTTACTTGTTTACTTGGTTATACAGGTTATACTGTCACCAGTTGATTCCGTGGCAGATACATATCGTGCACTGCTACCTGAGGGAACTCCTTTGGAGTTTCAGCGGATTTTGGAGCTTAAGGTCGTATTCAATTGCCCCAAATTTTTCAGTCAATTTTTGTGCTTGATTCTTCATAAAGTCTCAAAAATAATTCATTTGCCCTTTGGAAGCCAAGAAGCATGAACACTTAAGGTAACATATCTGTGTCGGACACCTACACTTGTCTGACACTTTCGGGCATGTGTCTACTAGTAAACAATAAATTTCGGTTGACATGTGATTGACAAACTTTAAAAATATAACACATGACTATCTTATTGTTAAGAGAGCTTGTATCCCTCAACGAATAATTAGGACAATCAAGATTGATTTATATACTTGAGGGTCACTCCACTCATTGCCAATTGATTTTGGGTTGGATGCTCTAACATAGTATCAGAGCTCGTCCTTAAGTGGTCATTGGGCCAAGTCTCTTACCCATTTGAAATTTTGCGATATGCATAGTTGTTTATTTGTTTGTTGACCCCACGTGCGAGCTCGGGTCCCACGTGCGGGAGGGGGTGTTAAGAGAGTTTGTGTCTTACATCAAATAATTAAGACCACCAAGGTTGGTTTATGTACTTGAGAGGTCACTCCACCTATTGCTAATTAGTTTTGGATGGATGCTCTAACACATATCATGAGAGAAAAATTAATCGTTTATATTTATCATGTTAAAACTAATTAAAAAACAAGGTGCATAACAGTTTTTCTGAAAAAAAAGAATTGAAAAGATGATAGCAATCATTATAATTATGTATGGTTGCTACATGTTATCTAGAAAAATTGGTGATTATTCTTTTTTTATAGGAATCAAATTATATTAACGAAAAAGTAAGATGAAGTACAAAAGGATCATAATATTGACAAGTCGACAATATCCAAAACCAAACAACAAAGGCACTACTTAAAAGAAGAAAGAATCAACAAAAAAGTCATATAGTTAATCATTGATAAGCAACCAACTCGTCGAGATTCAAAAAAAGGTATAGATGCAAAATCCTTCAAGGTTGATGCCCAAAAAGTTGCTAAAAAAGAGATGTGGTTCCATAAACAATCTATAACCTCATACTTACTTTCAAATATTTTTGCATTCCTCTCCAACCAAATTTACCCATATAGTAAAAAAAAAGTGCACATTCCCGAAGAGTAACTCCTTCACTTCTCCAAACCTTCAAACTGCACGTAAAGCATATAAGGTATTGAACTGGGAGCCACCCAAGAAATTACAGCCAGCTCAAACAATTTATTCAATAGCTTTAAAGCAATTGGACAATGCAAAAATAAGTGGCTTGCATTCACACAATCGTTCTTGCTTATAACACACCATTGTGATAGTGATGTTTTTTTTTTTTTGAATCATATCTTGGTGTTCATTTTCCCCATGGGCAACAACCAATGCACAAACTTTCACTTTCAAAGGCATCTTAGCCTTCCAAATCTTCGAAGATGGATAAATTGGTATGGTCATATCATTGATCAAGGAATTAAAATAAGATTTGCATGAAAGCAAGCCTGTTGAGATGACTGAAGCAGAAACTCTGCAGGAGCTATCCATACACTTAGTGACAATCCATCTTTAGCTTTTTTCCAAAGATAAATTGGATATGGAACTACTGGTTACAAATTCAATTTGTGTTGCAGCATGCTTCCCTTTATTGTTGTTGCTATTGATTCCTTAGGTAGAAATCTAAGCTATTCAATCTTCTTGGATAAAGAGCAAGAGAAGCAAGGGAGACTGCTGAAAAGAATGTATCATAGCATAAATCAATTCACTTGATTGGTGATAACAACGATAAGGTAGTGCCCTCATTGGCTGGAGTCTGTCTGGTTTTTTTGAGTCATCAAAAATTTCTTCCTGTCATAATCACGTACTGTGGAGTTTAAGTTGTATTGTACAATTGTGAATTTGGATAGTAGATTAGTTGCCTTATTTTTGGAATTCGGTGCATGGCCATATGGGTATTCAGCAAAAAGGAAATGTGCAACATTCTCCTCTCACCATATTAGACCTTTAGTCTTGTGTTTAATTTTCCTTCAGCGATGCAACATTTGTTGAGCCTTGCAAAATCTCAAGACTGGTTTGGCTTATAGTTTTTGGTTTATTCTCATGCCGGTTTCTTTGAATATTATTGTGCAGGGCCTGAAAAAAGCTGACCAGCAAATTATACTGGATGATTTTAACAAGCGTGGGTCTGGAATCAGTCAACCACCTATTGCCCCATCAGTTGTCCCAGCTATGCCCAGTGCAACTGCAGCTCCTTCCATAACCAGTCCCGCTTCAGCTGCTATTATTGCTTCGAGAGAGGATGTGCTGACCAGAGCAGCAGCACTTGGGAGAGGTGCAGCTACTACTGGATTCAAGAGATTCCTTGCTCTAACTGAAGCTGCCAAAGACCGGAAGGATGGGCCTTTCAGGAAACTATTCAATGCATGAGAATCTGATCTTCAATTTGATCTTAGGTTGCTGTTCAAAAAAAAAAAAAATTATTGCCAGTAAGAAAGTTTTCGAGAAAATAGTGGTGCATAGTTTTCTGAACATTTCAATGTGCTTTCTTTATGTACAATATCACTCGATCACCTCCCTTTTATGTTGTGGAGAAGCTTGAATCCTGCTAGATGTTAATTGATGTACTGTGTTGACAACACTGTTGTTGCCTCTACCCCCAACGAATGATGGAGAAAATTGTATAAGAAACTTTTTTTGGTTAAAATTCCTCACTGTATTTCTTAATTTACATGTCATATTGGCTCAAAAGAATATAGGATTTGGAATAACAATCTCGATGCTGTGCTTGTATTTCCAGTGTATAGAAAGTTATTTTTTTACTGCCCTTTGCATTTCAAAAGAAAGTAGACAAGATATGCAAAAACTATGTGAAATTTATGCGGGAAAAATAAGAAACCAGATAGCCTTTTGGAAAGTTGGAAACTTACAGGCATGCATCTGATGTACAACAAAATTCTGACATGCCCAAATATGAGACTGCATGTATTTCGAGGGGCATATTTAAAATATATTCACATACAGAACAATGATTCATCTGTATTCTTAATAAGGGGAAATTGTGAGTAGATATCTTATGAACTATTTATTTGTGAGAAAATATTTTGAAAAAATGTATTGTAGATAAGTAAATATTAGGTGGAAATGTATCATGTCTAGATACAAATAACAGTTTTTTTTTTAATATTTTCTTTACTAAAATGTCATTTTTCATAATTCGTGGACTATGCATTTCAAAAGTTCCTTCTTTCATGGGATTTGATTTTATTAAATCAGTCGTTTTCCTATTTTAGGAGATCTTTTTTTTTAAAAAAAAAATTTAAACGCTTCTTCAACATCTTGATTCTTCCTAAAAGTCATGGGAGTTCATGACGGTCCCTCTTTTTTTTATTTTTTGAATTTCTTGGTAGTTCCTTTTTTTCTCGAGTCTTCTTCAACATTTTCTTCTACTTTAACCTCTATTGCTCGTCTTTTACTTCAACATCTTCGGTTTCCACTCATAAGTTGCGTACTTTTTCTTCCTCATCGTCTACTGCTCGCCTTTTACTTAAACGTCAACTATTCGTCTTCTATTTCAACGTCTTCGATTTCCACTCATAGGTTGTGTACTTTTTCTTCCTCAACGTTTGTTGTTTCCAGCTACAAGTCATGCTTTTCTGCCACTTTATTGACTTGTTAACACCATTTTTTTTTGGTGTTGGGTAGAATATAACATCATGTAGTCATATCGGGGACTTGTAAAATTTTATACTTCAAATTAATGGATTTATGATTGGTGTTTAATTAAATTTTTTTTTTGAAGACACTGTGTGTGCTTTTAAAGGCCATTACAGTTGTTGCACTATGTTGTTATACTCTGACCTAACACTGTCACTCTTAAAAGCAATATATGTTTTTGTTAAACTATAGACGTCATTTTGTGTAAAGCATACCATTTAGATTGTGCATGAATCAAAGAATTTAATTGCACATCTTTTGTCATAAGTTACATTGTGATGTATTACTTTCATGTTAGCGATCACAGTAGAGCAAGTCGATCGTCGGACTTCAATGGTGTCCAAGCGTAAGTATAGTCAACACACAAACGAATGATTATTTGGTTCTCACAATTTTTCGGTTGGTTGTGTTTTTTATTTTATTGAAATCTCATGGTCTTTTATGAGATTTTTGTTTGAATTTTAAACACCCTATTTTTGTTAGTAGACGCGTGATCCTTGCGATGATTCACAAGATCCCTACCAATCCTTGGATTCATTGCTTAGTAATATCGATTGCCGTTGGTAAGCTGTGTGGTACCACCGAATTTCCGATATTGGTGTTTCCAGAAAAGCAAGAACGGCATTGGATTCCCTAAGGGTGCAAGATCCCAAAGTTTTCTCTTGAGGTGGTTCTTGCATGGACCAAAAAATTGACGAATTGATGTGATTGAAATGTGTTGCATTTTTTATTTATTTAATTGATTCATTAATTTGACCTATTCTTGCATTTACCTTATGTTCAATTATATTATGTATTGTTTTAAAATCTTGTCATTGATAAATATTATCTTACTAGCTAGTGAGCTCATCCCTATTTAACATTTTTTAGAATATGAAGTAAAGACCGGAGAATAAGCTAGAGAGACATTAGATAGAGACTGTTACTATTATTTCTCTTTATGTTGTCTCAAAAACATTTTAACTGATCGAGTTGGAATTGTGTTATCTTTATGTAATCGCACGCCGAATGCGTTAATAACAATAGAAAGAATGTTAGTATCAGTTATGTGTAGGTTTATTCCTTAATCACGCCCGTTTATTTCTTATAAAAAAAATCAGGTCGTGACATTAACAAATCAGGAAAAAAATGAGAGTTATTTATCAAAGTACAACTATTTTAAAACATATATATAATGAAATATAACACTTTTGAAGTTATTTATCAAACTACGACATTTTTTTAAAACAGATTCAATAACTCTGACTTTGTTAAAAAATATATTTTTTGGGACAGTATGAAAGCGTGTTTAATAATCACGTTTGTACGCTTTTTTACACTTTTCACACAAAAGATGATCTTCATACCCAACGAACTCTTCAACTCATCATTCATCTCTGAATCAACCTTGGTGTTAAAACAATTGCAGGCTAATTTGCATTCTGGAATCACTTCCCAGACCTAGGTGGTTGGATCACTTTTCCCTTCATCATAGATTTCTCTCTCTCTCTCTCTCTCTCTCTCTCTCTCTCTCTCTCTCTCTCTCTCTCTCTCTCTCGCTCACACACACACACAAACACAAACACACTACACAATATTGGGTCCAGCTATAACACAAATTATTCTTCAGTATCATTCATTCTTTTTAATCCAATAAGAATATAACTCATGTCAAGTTGTCTTGTGTTATGATTATAAATGAATCAGTCGAGGACCAAATACAATACGTTATCTATAGTATGCAACTGATTTTTTTTTTTTCTATATCCTTCTCTTATCCTCATATAATAGCCATGATCTTTTTGTGAAAAGCAGCAACCATGGGGGGTCTGTCCTTGGTAGCGGGAGGATGGTGGGTTTTGATTCTTTCGAACCTTATTGTGTATTTGATAGAGGAATATAATGTGAAGAGCATCGAGATCAATTTCTCTCTAGTTTGCAGTCAATTTTTTTGAGTATCTAATACAGGAATACAATTTTTTGAACCAGCGAGTTTTCGTTTCTTTTGTCTGAAAAGCGTGTTTAGAAAACACACTTTTAAGGAAAAACGTTAAAAGCGTAATTAATTCGAAAAAGTTTAAGTGTTGTATATTTAAAAATAGTTGTACTTTGGTTAATAACTCGAAAAAATTGAGATTGATCATCAACTATCAGCTACTTGCTTCAAAATCTATCTCATGCCAAGGTGTTATGCTCCAATTTCATAAAACAACGTGAACTAACTAATAACCATCAAATCTATGAGAGCATAACTAAAAATAATCAAATAAATCAAACCTCAATAAATATCAAAACATGCTTTAACTAAAATTTCAGAAGAAACATAAATTGGTTATTCAATGTTACATCTTAAAAACCTTAAATAAATTTGAAAATCTCATTCAACTAAATAATATTCTTAACAATCAACCATCATCGTCAAACAATTGCAATAAGATAAATAAACTACTCCCTAAGCCTCGAAAGCTAGATCAACATCTTGATCCGCCTCAACTTCTAACTCCACGTGCTCAACTAAGGTGATATTCTCTTCAATATCAAAATCTGAAAAATATCAAAAAATGGGTGAGCAAACGAGCCCAATAGAGAATAGTTCCCAATCATAAACAATGTTTATAAAAATAGAAAATAGGTAGGTCTCAATTAACAAAATAACATATGTAGTTTTGGAAATAAAACATGTGACATTATAACGATCCCAAGCTTACGATATATAAACAGGAAATCCAGAACATAGTAGAATCATTCAGAAAAATCAGCTTTTATAAAAATATATCTCAAGTAAGTAGGTTGACTATCATTAATCCACACATCATTATATATAGTCCACAAAATTCCACATTCTCAGTTCTAACACAATATAAACAAAGAGGAATTCTTTATTTCTCTCTAGAAATAAATACAATAATTTTTCACACAAAAATACGCTCAAGACCTCTCTGGGATCTCTCTCTGTGTGTGTTTCTTCCTCACTATTTTTTGGAATGATTTTGGCTTTCATTAAGCTCTCTATTTATAGGGACTTTCTAGCCAAAAGAAAACGGAGGGCTTCCAAAAATTCTGGCTAGCAAAAACTCTGAAGACAACTTTTCTGACGACAAAATCTATATGAGACTTCTGGATCCTTCAATTCTCACCCTCCAAAACCCTCAAAAGAGAATTTAATTAAACATTCATCTCGGCTATGTCCCTACATAGCTCAAGCTTTTCCTGGGTAACCACCTTTGTCAACATGTCTACTGGATTTTCTTTTGTGTGGATCTTCACTAGTGTCAACAACTGTTGCTTCATCACCTTGCGTATCTAATGATAGCGAATATTAATATGCTTCATCTAGGAATGGTACATTGCGTTCTTGTTTAAGTCTAGAGCACTCTGACTATCACAATGTACCTTGTATTCTTTCTGCTTAATACCCAATTCTTGGAGAACCCGCTTTAACTACAATATTTCTTTACTAGCTTACGCTGCAGCAATTTTACTTTGCCTCTATCGTAGATAAAGCTATGCACTTCTGCAACCTTGACTGCCATGACACATCTCCCCCTACAAAATTGTAGAGAAATCTTGATATAGATTTTCTACCATCAAGATCTCCTACCATATCTGAATCTGTATAGCCTTCCAAAACTAGTTCAACTCCCTCGTAACACAAGCATATCTTCGATGTACTCTTAAAGTATCTAAGAATCTACTTAACTACCTCACAATGTTTTTTCCTTGGATTGTAAAGA